CTTGAGGTTGTGCGTGGGGTTTACAACGCAGACAAGTTGCCCAGCGGCGGAGAAAACCCGTTTAGCCTTGTAGTGCTGAAAGCGGAGGTGAATGAGATCTAACACAGCCCCAAAGCACTGGGTAAAGAAAAGCATCACAACTTTTGGGGGGTTGTTGGCACAGGGAGGCAGCGGAAGAAGCTGTTAAGTCCTTGGGCTCTGGAAGGAGCGCAGCCTCTGAGACACTCCGCTCCAGCCCGGCTTAGCGTGCCTTCATATTCATCATCAAAATAAGACGGTTAGAATCTTGCAGCAGTGAGGCGGCCAATCGAAAGGACAGAAATGTTATCCTTGAGGTGCAGAGACAGCCAATAACAAATGCCTCCCCTACCGAAACTCCCTGATGAATTGAGCCTGGCGGAGAATGTATTATTGAACATTACCATAGATCAGCACATTGCATTTATCTTGTGATTACAGCCAACCATACATAATGCTGGGGAGATAGGCTGACAAAATTGATTGCTTAATGTGTCTCCATTTATTAATTGACTTAATTTAACATGAGAGCCTTTCTTAATGCACTGGCAAAAACGTAAAGCATTTAAACCGCCAAGTAGTAAAACACCCTGCTCCAAAGTAGGCAGATGGATAACGCAGATCGGGGCTTGACTCACCAGAGCTGGTTGGGAGAAAATCAAATATTACAAGACTCCGATTCCAGATAAGGATTTGGCAGCATAGAAACGTGCATCTTTCAATCTTGTGCTCTCTACAATTTGGATTCCAACCCCTTGATAAATCTTACTTTCCAATCTTTATCAAAGGAAAGGATCCCTAAGAAATAAAAGCATTTGGAGGTGGTAGTGCTGTGTGTGTGTGTGTGTGTGTGTGTATCTATCTATCTATAGATATATATACCATAATTACTGAAGCCTGAGAATATTAAAGCATAGAAATGCACAGAGTATGCTTTTAAAAATAATGAAATTCCTGATGCATGAATGCACACACACAAAAAAACCTACACAGAGAGGAAAATGGCTTGTAAATCAGCAAAATAATTACAGATGTGGAGGGCCTTTGCTTGTCATTCATTTGCATATTGGTGGGCAGCAAATTGCTAATTAACCACTAGATCGTTGGAGACATTAAAACAGGGATTAGGAGCACACATACCACATCATTTACTTGTCTCCATGAATGCCAGCAGCACATTTCTGTGCTGGAGCAGGCAGAGGGCATTCCAGTCTCCTGATCGCACTCCCTCTCCAGAACGGGGCTGGCGGGGGCACTAAGCCCACTCACTGGTTCTGGAAGAAAGGCTCCTGAACAGTACACAAAGTGCCCCAGGGTATCTTGGGAACTAGTTCTGATGGCTTAGTCAGTCTTTGCCCCTAATACAGGAGAGTTGAGTGTGTTGTGTTTCCCCTGGTCTTTAGTTGTTTTTCTGGTGAGAAGTCACCCAGCACCTGGGTGAGGAGGAATCAGCCTTGTATGTGGATTGCACCTAGAATATGAGCCCATTGTTCCATCCTGAAGGGCTCTCACTCTCCTCTGGCTACAGTGCTTGGGTTGTAATGTATGCAAAAGCATGCACACGCCTAGGACACCCACATCTATGACCTGGTCAGGAAATTAAAACAACAACAGATTAAAATATAGGGGAAAATGCATAGATTTACTAAAACCAGGACAAAGGCAGGTGTTAGTTTTAACTTGAATTTAAAACCAAACCAATGTTTTAAGAAACAAGTAAGCCAAACACCTAATTGGGTGCTTCCATTTTAATTAATGGAAACTTTGTACTTTTAAAAATAATTGCACTGACACAAAACTAGAAGGTAACAACATTTGAACTGATTAGAAACTCATACAATCTGATACAACATTACAGGAGATAAGTCCCTAGAACCTCTCATTACATGGTTCATAAATAAGGGCTGCTGGACCACAATACCCGAATTTGCTTTCTGAAGTTTTCATTTTCCGGAACAAGCTTTCAGCAGTCCAGCAGGAAAGGATCCAGTGTTCTTTCATTGCCTCACTTAAAAAAAAAATAAAATAAAACTAAGCATATACTTTCATAGACTCCTTCAAGACACAATTTACAATTCAGAAAAGCCCAGACTACCCCTTTCTACATCCTCTGTTAGAATGGAACCATTATCTTGTTTGTTTCTCCCATTGTATCACCTCAGACAGGTTTCTTAACCTCACTGAGGCTTGGTTCCCACACTTGTCACATGGGGATAATAGAAATTTGTCTCTCAAGGTCATTGTGAAGACTAAGATGATGTATCAGGAAGTACCCGGCACAGTGTCTGATTCAAAGCAGCCTCTCAATACTTGAGTCTATTGCACATCTCTGGTGGAAGGGTGATTATTTGGCAGCATGTTTTTTCTTCCTGCTCCATGAAATATTTTTCCTCATGGATATTCACCCTACCCTCGAGGGCCACACAGGCATGAAAACAGTGGACTTGGCTCCTCCTATGTTCTCAAGGGCAGGTATTCCTGATATGACCTGGAGACCGGGTCTGGGAGTAAGGGCTGAGGGGCTGAGGAGTGCATGTTGACATCAGCAGTGAGGACAGTGCCACAGACCTGCTCTTGTGGATGCTCTTCTTTGGTCCCAGACTTGAGCCCTTGCTCTAACTCTCTACCCAAACACTGGTTCATGTCACTGTGTTTTAGAATATTAAACACATCATCTGTCTTCAGAATCAGTCCTCAAAATAATCACCCACTGAGAAATGTTTGGAATTAACCCTAACAGCAGATGCTCATGCTTCATGTCTCCAAAATAGGGTGGCATAAGCCAGCCTTCAAATAGAGATTTAGAGCTTTGTCACTGTTTACCACTAAGGTACCCCTCTGCAATCATCACACCAATGTGCTCATGCTACCCATGATGCCCAGGGCTTCCCCTTCACCTCTGTAGCAACGATTTACATTTTATCTGGACTAGAAAGTCCCTGAGGTTGGTAATCAGACAAATTATAATTCAAACCCTATATTGCTACTTACTGTTACTGTTAGAAATTATTTTATTTCACTGATGCTTAGTTTTGTTGTCTGTAAAATGAAGCTAATAATGCTCTTGAAAAGTAGCTTAAAGATTAAGTGAGATAATGTAGGTAAAGTGACCAGCCCGGGACCTGGTTTTTGTAATAACTTTAATGAGAAGCTCTAATCATCATCATCATCATCTTCTTCTTCTTCTCCTTCTCCTTCTCCTTCTCCTCCTTCTCCTCCTCCTCCTCCTCCTCCTCCTCCTCCTCCTCCTTCTTCTTCTTCTTTTCATCAAAAATATATTTGTTCAAGTCAACCCAAAGTGTTGGTAAAGATGTGGAACAACCAAAAATTTCATGCACTATTGCAAACCACTTTGGAAAACTGTTTGGGAATAACTGCTAAAGCTAAACTTATCCATACCTTGTCTACGACCCAGAAAGTCCACTCCATGTGCCCAACAGCATTGTGAGCATGTGCTCACCAGAATATTTGCCCTAGGATTTTCACTGCAACATTGCAGCTATATCCATAGTGGTTACAAACTGGACACAACCTAAATATCAACAATAAAATGGGTAGATTGCCTTATTTTGTCCTCTTTTTGCTAAATACTACATAAAAATGAAAAAGTGAATTATTTGCTACATGCAACAATGCGATAACATGGGTGGATCTCACAGGTGTAATTCTGAAGTCTAGAAGCCAGGTATGAAAGAATACATGTGGTGTGATTCTATTTATATGACGTTCAAGAACATAGACAATGTAATCTATGGTGTGGGAGATCAGGGCAGTGGTAATCTTGGCAAGGGGGTATGGCTGAAGTGGACACAAGATAGGTTTTAGAAAGTTAAGTATATTCTGTTTCTTGGTCTGTGTTCTAATTCTGTGAATGTTGTGGTTTGAAATTGTTTCCGTAAAAACAGATATGGTGAAGCTCTAACTGCCAGGACCTCAGAATGTGACCTTAGTTGGAAATAGGGTCATTCCAGAGGTAATCAAGTTAAAATGAGGTCATTAGCGCAAGCTCTAATCCAATACAACTAGCGTTCTTATAAAAAGGGAGAATTTGGATACAGAGACATACACACAGGGAGAATTCCATGTGAACATGAAGGCAGAGATTGAGGCAAAATATCTATAAGTGAAGGAACACAAAGTATGACCAGCAAACCATGAGAAGCTAGGGCAAGATTGTGGAACAGATTCTCCCTCACAGCCTCCAGAAGGAACCAATCCTGCTGACATTCTGATCTCCGATGTCTTGTTTCCAGAACTGGAACACAATAGATTTCAGTTGTTTAAGCTACCCAGTTTATGGTACTTTGTTATGGTAGTCCTAGCAAACTAATACCATGAATACATCTATTTTGTGAAAATTCTTTAGGCTGTGAACTTACCAACAGGACACCTTTCTTGTATGTAAGATACATGCCCAAAATCATACAAAAGTAACATGTGGATGAGCACATAATTGCATTTTGAAATAGCAAAGTACTTCATTAAGATTTTAAAAGTCTGTTGAAGTAAAAAGAGAAATACTTGATTACATAAAATCTTAAATTCTGTCACATAATGTCTAACAACTGAAATGAAAAAAAAAACAAACACCTAACATGTTGGGGGATATATTTGCAGCAATTATGACAACAAAAGATTTGTATTCCTGATAAGGAACTCTTGTACACACATTTTAAAGAACTAAAATTATATAGAAAAAAATAGATGAAGGATATAAACAGATTATACAGGAGAAGAAATAAAAACACTTTTTAAAGAGTTTATTTATTTTAGAGAGAGAAAGAGCATGCAAAGGGGGAAAAGAGCAGATGGGGAGGGAGAGAGAAAGGGAGAAAATCTCAAGCAGACTCTGCACTGTGTGTCTAGCCCGACGCAGGGCTCGATCCCACAACCCTGAGATCATGACCTGAGCCAAAACCAAGAGTCGGAAGCTTAACTGACTGAGCCAAACCAGGCGCCACAGAAATGAAAATATTAATAAATGAAAAATGTTTAATAGAACTAGAATTCTAAGAAAGGTCAATTAAAACAAGATAGCATCTTTTGCTTATCAAATTGGCACTTTTTATTTTTAAACAATGCTGTCCAGCATTCATGAATCTTCTGTGAGACTTGACATTCTCATCTACTGG